TTCCCTGACCTTCCCTGGGCTGTTAACTGCCTTCCGACAACAGCTTTGGGCCGGCATCAGGGGACTGGTGTGGGACATCACAACCTAGAGAGACAGACAGGCTCTGAGGAGGGACAACAGCGGGCGGGAACTCGGCTGTGTGGGAACCAGGGAAAGTTTCTGGGAGGAGGTGGTTCTGGGGGCACCACCTCCATCCTCCACAGCTAGGTTCCTGGGATGGAAATCTAAAAGGTGACAGCCACAGGCCTTGAGGCAGGTCCAGGAGGAGCCCAGGAACATACACTGCAGTATGGCAGGCCTTAAAATGGAGGCGTGAGTGGGTCTAGAAAAGGCCACCAGGAGCAGTCACCTGTCAATCTCAGGGGCCACCTGGGGGTCCTATGATGCCTTTTCCAACTGTCTATACCCACAAACTCACTTCCATCAGATCACAAGACACGGAGAAAACCCTTCCGCCTCACCAGCACCTTTTCAGCAGCCGGAAGCAGCCCCATTTGTCCTCAGCAAGTCCCTCACCTCAGAGTCACCCCGTCAGCCCACAGCAAAGCCCTCTGCCAGTATTAATACATCAGCAGGATGAGGTGATAATGAAACAAAAATGGACCCTGCCTCAACGTCATCCTCATCCATCACCACCGTCACCATCAGTATCGGAATCACAATCGCCATCATCAGCATCACCCTCACCCCATCACCCTGACCACCACCATCCATATCACAATCACTAATGTCATTAATATCATCCTCACCCTCACCTTCACCATCACCACCGTCAGTCACCACCACCCTCACCAACGTCACAGTCATTACTGTCACCCCAACCTTCATCTAAATCAGTATCACCATATCCACCATTATCAATATCACCTTCATCATCAATAGCACTATGAGCCACAGCATCGCCCTCGGCAGAGGGTGTAGCTCATAGTACAGCGTTTGTCATGTGGCTTCCACAAAACCCTGGGTTTGGTTCTCAGCATTGCAAAAAAAAAAAAAAGATAAACAAAACAAAACAAAACACCACCTTGCTGGGCAGTGGTGGCGCACGCCTTTAATCCCAGCACTCGGGAGGCAGAGGCAGGTGGATCTCTGTGAGTTCAAGGCCAGCCTGGTCTACAGAGTGAGATCCAGGACAGGCACCAAAACTACACAGAGAAACCCTGTCTCGAAAAATGAAAAACCGCAAAACAAAATAAAACAAAACAAACAAAAACCCCACCGCCTCATCATCACCTGCTAGCCCTGCCACCATCACCACAACAACAGCCACCAAGGCTTGTGTATTACACTCGACATGCCAGGCTATGCTTTCATGCTTTAAATACTTCAACGCACTTAACTCCTGCCTTCTACAAAGCGCCTGCTAGAAGGATGCTCACTGTACACGCAGGTTGAGTGTCGTGCCCAGACACACAGGCGAGATGTGAATCCCAGCAATCTGGCTCAACAGCTATTTTTATTTTATTTTATTTTATTTTTTTTGTTTTTTGAGATAAGGTTTCTCTGTGTAGTTTTGGTGCCTGTCCTGGATCTCGCTCTGTAGCCCAGGCTGGCCTTGAACTCACAGAGATCCACCTGGCTCTGCCTCCCGAGTGCTGGGATTAAAGTCGAGCGCCGCCACCGCCCGGCCTCAACATCTAATCTTTAATGACTGCTCAGCTGAATAGGGACCATTCAGAACATGGCAGACAGCAGGGACCACAGCAGACCCACAGCAATGGCCCACCACACCTGGGCTTTCATCCCAATCCTGGCAAGGTCCTTCTCTCTCAGATGGTCCCTGGACCATCTAAACCAGGAAATAAACATCTGGGTGGTCTCTGAGCTCCCTCCGGCTACTCTGAATGTGGCCTGTTAGTCCCTCCAGATGTGTGTGCAGTCTTCTGGGGTAGCCATCTTAGAAGATCCGACAGCCCATGTGTTAATGTTCCAGCAGGCTGTGCTGACACCAACCAATGCCTGTGTGTGAGTCTCCAGAAATAAGACACCTAAGGGAAGCAGGATGGCTCCACCCAGGCCCTCAGAACCCAGGCCAGCCAGCATGCACTCCGATTTAAGATTGCCACTGATAAACAACTTTAGCCCCGAGGGCACCACCAACTGAAGGGCAGGGACACACGTACCGTACCATGAGTGTCACCTCCAAGGTATGTGGCACTGAGGGACTCTGAAAGGTCTTCACCATTCACAACCCCCTGGAGCTTGCAGCTAATCTGAAGCACAGCGTGGTGATTAACCCACTCATCTGCATGTTGAACACTGGGCGCTAGGTCCCAAGGCAGGTGCGCTTCACACACTGCGCCGTGTCCGCCCGGTCTTCAGGGTGAGTGGGGGAACAGTTTGGGTCCAGAGAGCCAACGGAGACACTGATGCTTGCTGCGGTCAAATCATCACTCTGCGCCTGTCAGAGGCGGGCGGATATGCAAGCAAGGATCCTCTCAGAGGCCAGGCTAGCCCCTGCTTTCTTCTGCCATGACACAGGGTCCAATGGCACCACCACAGGAAGGATCGTCCTAGCAACTCCCCACTCCCCACTTACTGGGGCCTCACAGATTGCTCATCGGAACTCCAGTCTTGGATGGGGACTGGACGCAAACGAGGGCTAGCATCGGGCTCTGCCCCTGGAGTGGGGAGCAGATTGATAGACTTTGTAAGGGAGGTGCTCCTGAGTTCCTGGGGGCCCAGCAGGAGGCACATGGCTTGAGAGCAAGGATGGCCCTGACACCCAGCTGACAGCAAACAAGGTTGGGGAGCAAGACATGAAATTAGAACCCAGAGTCAGGAAAGTAACAGTGAAGGGCACCCGAGGGGCTTCTGGGAACATAATGGGTGCTTAATGCAGATGGGTGCATATGTATTCCCACAGGGCACTCAAACTTCCTTCTGGAGCAGCTGTGGGCAAAAGGGTCCACAGAGCCGGGTGGCCGAGCGGGTTGGGAATGTGAGTCTGGCTCTTGGGCTGGGACATAGCTCAGTTGTAGCGTGGTTACCTAGCTATAGGGAACCCCCGGGTTTGATCTCTAAACACTCTATCAACCAGCTGTGGTGATGCACACCTGTGATCCCAGAGATAGAGGTAGGAGGGTCAGGAGTTCAAGGTCTCAGCCTGGGACTCCATCAGGATGGGGAGTTTCCGCTGAGCTCTGAAGGGCTTCAGAGGAACCAGGCAGAAGATGGGGAGACCCTGAGAGCAGAGGAAGGCAGGAGCTGAGCTGTGAGAAGGACAGGCCAGCTCAGTGGCTTCAGCCAGCAGAAGGATTGTGCCAATCACGACCCTCCTTTGCTAGAACACTGTCTCAAGGACAAGGAGCGGATCAGAAATTACACACACGCCCTCACTCTACCACCTGGACCACTGAGTTACAAACCCTCCAGATCCTGCCAGCAGCCAGGGCAGACCATCCCACCAAACTTTTTGCACATGACCTGCTCTCCCTGCCTGCTGCCTGGCCACTTCCCAGAGGTCTGTGGGTCACACTAGCTTCCCCCTGCAGCTCCTGGGGGCCCAAGCCGGCCAGCAAGGCGCCGACACAAAGCAGGACCCAAGGAGATGCCAACCTGTTCAGGCTGCAGGAGCTGTGTAAAAGCAATGGGTCAGTGATGTCACTATTCCTGGGGTGCTGGGCCACTGGAAGGCCCCGACTCTGCAGAGCCTGGTCAGAAAGGGCAGAACCTCATCCTGTTGACACGCAATGCTTTCCCAATGCAACCCCACACTGAAAACTGAGCTGGTGGTGGGCCAAGACGAAGGACCAGAAACTCTGGGTTTTAGTCCTGTCTGCGTGGCCCCTGCTGTCAACACCCGCCTCAGCTGATCTTCCTCTGTCCACTGAGGGTGGATGGGAAGGTCTGGGTCAGGGGTGGGGGCCGCATGGTTCAGGGAGAATAACTTTTAGACCCCAGTACCCAAGCTCTGCCCAACTTTGAATGGGGCCAAAATGACCATGAGATCTTTATGGGATGATATCCCACCTGGCTCCGACTCCTGGCTCCCAGTATCACAGAGGCTTCATTTTGCTCTGTGAGGGATGCAGTTTCTTTTCTTTCATTTTTTGATATCTAATGATCTAGCCTAGGCTAGTCTCAAACCCACTGTGTAGCCCAAGATAGCCTCAGCCTATAGATTCACTTGCCTTGAACTCTTTATTGTCTGTCTGTCTGTCTGTCTGTCTGTCTGTCTATCTATCTATCTATCTATCTATCTATCTATCTATCTATCTATCTATTTTGAGACAGGGTTTCTCTGTGTAGCCTTGGCTGTCCTGGAACTCACTCTGTAGACCAGGCTGGCCTCAAACTCAGAGATCCGCCTGTCTCTGCCTCCGGAGTGCTGGGATTAAAGGTGTGCGCCACCACACCTGGCTTGCCTTGGAATCTTGAGTGCTGGGATTTCAGGCATGCACCACCCTGCCTGCCCTGGGGAATGGGTTCCTACTTCTGAACCATCAACCCAGAACCCCAGGTGCAGTGAGGAGAGGCTGGACAGACGGATGGATGGCTTGAAGCACAGGCTCTGTCTAAGATCTGGGGCTAGAAAGAGGAGTGCCAACTCAGCCACTCTTACAGCCCAGCCCACTCAGAGGCAGGGCCCTCTGTGGAAGCTACAAGCTACACAGGGCAGCCTGGAATCTGAAGTTAAGGATACGGCAGAGGAGTCACCCTGGGCCTTTACTGGCTCCCATATGTATTCAGGGCCAGACACACAAATAGTCATTCAACCTTGATTTCTTCAAGAAACAAAAGCGCTAAAACTTAGGTGAAAGCCAGACACCCTACATTTCCACCTTTCACCCTCCAGGTGACCGGCTGTATCTCCTGGAAGCCCACAGGCCTCTGAGAAGCATAAGACTGACAGAACCCAAGCTGTCTATGTCCACAGTGTTGGGATGCAGGGACATCACCTTTGTATACCACAGGGCGGGCGACCGGGCGGGCGGGCGGGCAGGCGGGCGGGCGGGCCTCAGGCCCCCCATGTGGTGGGGAGGACTGAGGGAACTCACCTTCACATTGCCTCCCTTCCCCCTTGTAGCCGGGCTTGCAGAGACATTTGTAAGACTTGGGTGTGTTCTGGCAGATGGCATCTATGTGACAGTCATCTGTGCCCTCCGAGCACTCATCCACGTCCACGGCTCCTGTGGGGGGAGGGGAAACTGCAGGTGAGGCGTGCTAGGAAGACCTCTGAGACCGCGCCGGAAGTTCATGCCCCCATCCTCCCACTGACCGCTGGGGTAACTGACATGAACAGTCACGTAGCAATTTGGTGCGACAATTGGTTAGCATCCTTGAGGCAGTTTCTCTGTGCCAGGCACATCTCACCACACATCTGGTCTTGATTTTCTTAACAATCCCATTAGGTATGGCCATTACCCTCACTCAAGATATGGAGAAACTGAAGGCCAGGGACACCAGAAAGAAAAACCCCTCTGTGGATCTTAGTCTCCCCACAGGCATCATTCCCACCCTCCACACGCCTCATTCCAAAAGAGTCCTCGGAAAAACTTAAATCCAGTCCCTCTGGGTTGCAGATGAGGAAGCTAAGGCAGAATGGCATGCAAATATTGAGCAGTGGCCATCCATGGGGGTCGCAGGTGACCTGGATGTGAGGTCCCATGGAGCCCCAAGACAGTGGAACTGTGGGAAGGATTATCTACCAGGACCCAAACCAGAGCAGAGTCCATAGATCTGCCTTTCACCCTGCTAACCGAGGCCCCTGCCTCAGAAAGCCAATTCTCATAGCCCAGCTTCTAGACCCCAGAACCATCCAGGCTCAGAGGGCATCGGTGCACCCCGCCTCCTGGCCCCGGTACATAAATACAGAAAGCTGCGGTCATGGTTACACGATGAACAAGGCCTTTTGTACACACGCCTGATCTCTCTCTCCCTCTCCGTTCCCTCACTTGCTCTGAGTTTACTCAGGGAACAGCCAGAACTTTAGGTTTAGACGGGGAATCTGAGACCAGTGATACATGCTCCAGGACTAGACCCCATCACACACAAGCTTGTCTGGGCATCCGTCTCCTTCCAGCTGGCTGTGACCACCACACAGATGGACAGGCAGAAGGACTCAGGTGAGCAGACAAGGGACTTTCAGCAGCTGCCCTGAGGACAGTCCCCCTGGGAGGCTCCAAATGTCCCCGTCTCTGCATCCATCTGGCCTCACTCTAGACTTCATGGTGCCCAAGAATGTCCACTTTGAACTCACCCCCTGGCTGGACATTGGGCTCTAGCTCAGTGCCCCACCCATACCCAGACTTCTCCTCCTCACTCTAGACTCCAAGGTTCCAGCTCACCAGAGGGGAGAGAGACATTGACAAGAAGCACAGCAGACTCTTCCCTGAACACACTTGCACATGCAAAATACAGGCACTCACATGTACACAGACGTAGCATCCCTCCCAAGGCCAGCCAGTGTGCTCAAGTGTGCAGTCCGCCTCTACAGGTGCCCAAAGGCAGTAGGTAAGAGCCCAGAGACAGGCAGCCTAGTAATCCAGAGAATGCTTTCCAGGGCCAGTGGGGGAGCGTGTGGGAGAGGGGCTTTCTGAGGAGCTGGCCACAGAGGGACCAGTGCTTCAAGGGCAGGACTCTAGAGAGAGCCAGACCACATAGGGTGCCTTTAAGAGACATCTTCCTACTTCCCACAGGTCGGGGCAAAAGAGTGAGGGACAGAAAGCTCCCTGGGAGTTTGAGATCCCTTCTATCTCCCACCTAGGTAGGTTGAGATGGAAACACAGAAGTTTGGAAAGGGTGAGTGGGGCTGTCTGTCTTTCAAATTATAAACTTGGCCCGGGAGCAGGGGAGCCTGGCTGAGCCAGGCTCCAGATCTCTGCACAGTGCTCAAATCTCTGCACAGCGCTCTAACGCAGGCTGCTCACTTCAACCCTGGTTTTCTTTCTTGTGAGCTCAGCTCCTGGGGGGCAGGCAGGGGCAGACAGACGCCGGGAAGGACAGAGAGGAAGGGAGAGGCACACAGGACAGTCCTACAAAGGTGAAGAACCCCAAAGCCTGGGGGCGGGGGAGGGAGAAATGCCCACAGACATGTCTAGTAACCCCAACAGTTTCTGGAATGGGGGCATGGAAGAAAACTCAGCGCTTATGGTGAAGTAGCGCCGACTAGCATAAACTCCCTGGCATTGGATCTGCTGTGGGACACTCAGGAACAAACAGACCTCGGGAGACCCAGCTGGAGGGGGAGCAAGGCAGGACCCTCCCCCCACCCTTTCCAAGGAGAACAAGGAGGAGTACACTGGAGATGTGAAGAGAGCCTGGGTGTGCAGCTCTGCCCCGGAGCCCCTACCAGCAAACTCAGATCAGGGAGAGACACCCCCACCTAGCAGCTCCGTCTGCCCTGACCTGCTGACTCCCCCCGGTGCCCATTGGCCCCTCTCTCTGATGACTTCGACATGCAGTCCTGGTTTCTTCTGTGATTCGTGTTCCCCATCCACCTCCTTCCCTATGTCTGTCCGTCTCTTCTCCCCCTCCGCTCTGACAGTCCATCTGTCCATCTCTTCCCAGACATCTCCATCCTTCCTCTCTCCCTCGGTCCCCTCCCTCGGCGCCGCCCCTCCGAGTCCTCCCGTTTCTGGTGTCCATCTGTCTCCTCCTCTCCGTCCTTTGATCTGCCTTCCTCCTTCCCGCTGTCCACTGCCTCCTCGCTCCCCTCCCTTACCTCCTCTCCCCTCTTCCCTCCCGCGGCTGTCTTTCTCAGGGCTTCTTCCTGGGCCCTTTTGTCTGTTCCCTCTGCTCCTCGGCTCCTGTCCGTCTGTCCCTCCATCTCTCTACCTCCCCTCCAGTCTTAGAGCGTCCTTTCTGGCCACCTCTGGGTATCTCCTATATGGCAGCTGCCGAGCCCTCGGCCCTGGGGGAGCGTTGTTCTCGGCTTTGGGGGGTCCCCGCCGGTCTCCGTACGCATGCCGGGCCCCGCAGGCGGCCGTTGCTCTTCCTTTCTTCCTTCAGCCTCCCGCTTCCCCTCCCGGGGCCTCAGCCCACCCCGCCCCCGCCGGCCCCGGGCGCTCCCAGAAGTTACTTTGCAAGGAGGCAGGACCCGGCGCGGGGCAGCCTCCGACGGCGCGGGGTGGCAGCCCCTAGGTCCCCGCGCGCCTCAGTCACCCGGGTCCTCGCGCTTACCTGGGAGCCCGCTGCCCCCCACCATCCGCCCGCGCGCTCCCAGAGCGAGCAGCACGCACAAGTGCCAGCGCACGGCCGCCGCGCCCATGCTCGCAGCGGGCCGCGCCGGGTGCGGGTGTGCGGGGCACGGGACGCACCGAGCGGCCGCTCCGCGAGCGCTCCTGTCTGCAGCAAGCTCCGCTACCGCTCGGGCTCCGGAGCCACCCAGCCGGCGCGCAGGACGAGCTGACAGCCGCGCGCTCATTGGCCCGTGGCCGCGGGAGGCGGAGCTCCGCGGGAGGCCGTCCAGTGGGCGTTGGGTGGCGTGGCTTGCGGGAGTCTGGGCCCGCCCCCTCTCCCGGGGCGGGCGGCAGGTGGGGGGTGGGAGCCCCGGCGAGCTGGAGTCCCGGTGCAGGATGTCACCCGGGCCGGGACTGGTCCCCAAACCGCCCTTTGCGGGCCCCGTTCTATGTCCTGGGTCCCCAAGGAACGGGGTGGCTGTTCCTCGGGCGCGGCACCCCTCTGCCCGGCACACAACACAATCAGGGAAATAGAGGTGGAGAGAGGCCCAGAGGCACCCAGGGCTAGTGACGGCGATGCTCGGTGCACGCCGCCGATCCACAGGCATTTATTGAACCCCTAATGGGTGCCAAGTGCTGCCTGGGCAGCCGCACACTAGCAGGCATGGAAAACTCTCGAAGATAGTTTCAGAATTTATGTACAAAAATCAAAGGAACTTTTCAGTACTGTCCCGAGGACAATGGTTATAGAAGTGCTTGTCTTGGACAGCCAGGCATTGCCCCTGGAACCGTGTTCCCGTCGAGTGGACGCGCGATCCGGCTCGGTTGAGCAGCCTCTCTGTCCCGAGATGCTTGTTGCTCCGCCAAGCCCAGGTTCTCGGGTGACAGGCCCTGCGGGGAGCAGGGGCGCGGGGTGGTGGTGGGGGGAGGCGGGTGTCCCTAGCGTCGCGGTCACCCTGGCCCAGAGTCTCCCCCGGCACGGGGTCTACACCTGACCCCTCGGCCTTGAGGCCTGGCGAGCACTCAATGGCCGCTCTCTGCTCGGGAGGCAGGACGCTGAAGAAGTTCAGCAAACCCCAAGGCCCATCTCCTTGACAACCACCAATAAGAGCTCCTGTTTTCTCCTGCTCTCCAGACTCAAAGACCAGACTTTTCTTTTTGTCCACTCTGCCTGCGCTGTGTTGCACCCAGCGGTTCCGCTTCACGCGGGCTCCCTGCCCCCAACACACAGTCTGCAGCCACCTCCAAGGCCCCAGAAGGCTAAATCCATGTCTCTCATCTCCTGCTGCCAGCCAGATTTCCCGTGGGCTTGTGGCACCGGGCTGGAGGCTGAGACAAGGGATCCATGCCCACATTGTGCAGAAAGGATCGGGGAGGAAGTGGGGCCCTGGCTTCTATTGTATCCGGTCTCCTACCCTACCCCTGCATGCATTTTCTTTCCCTGGTTGTTCTTGGTCATGTAGTTTAGTTTGCGGGACCTTGCTACCATGCCTATTCTATCAGCTGTACGGCTTTGAGGTTCTCTCTCCCTCCCCGTCCCCCGTTCATGAGACATCAGGGCAACCAATCTATTTCTGAGAACTGTTTTCAAGGGGGCTCTGACTTCTTAGCACCATGTTTTTCCATGTTGTCTTCCTCAGGGGCTCCCACCCCCACTCAGGTGTCCCCAAACACAATAGCAGCCATAAGATCTTCTTGCTGGTTCTATCTTTCAATATTAAGGCGAGAATGGAGACTAGGGATGGTTTGGGAGTCCCTACAGTTTGTAGGGACTCTTTCAATAATATGAAAATTTTATCTGCAGTGTGCCGCCTCAGTAACCTTGAAGGTCCCTCAAGTGGGGAAAGAAAAGTGACTCCCTCTAGGAGACCATGCATGTGAGGCATGGTGGAGGAGGGGAGAGGAAGAAGCTGTGTCTGATTTCCTGACCAAGGAGATGGCTTACGGGGCAAAGAAAGACGCTCGCTTCCCAGAACAGAAGCAAGATATGATGGAGGCTGGTGTGACGGTACTGGGGTGGGGTGGGTAGATGGGGTCAGCATCCTAACATCAGGACTCCGGCAAAGGATGTCTTGGCACCTCTCCGTATTGAGCTGAGAACGTGGGGGGCCACTCACTGGTTTGGGGAGCGGACTGGGCTGCTTCATGCCCAAGCCACCTGTGTGTGCTCTGAGTGTCAACCAGTGCACCTGTGCCCTCCACTGAGGCCCTATCTAGACCAACCACAAGTAAGGTAAGGCTGGCAGACAGCTTGCACCCCGAGCCCAATGCCATCTGCCAGGACAGCCTTCAAACTCTCCTACGCACACTCCAGTTGCTGCCCCGTAAGCTCCATGCTAGACCTCCTTCGGGCTCAGAAAACGAACACTCCTCACTCTCACCCCCAGTTTCCTCTCTGTCTCCACCCAAAAAGGGATCCCGAAGCCCTTGTCTGTGAATACAGTTCCCAAAGGGAGTTGAAGCAATTATTGTCAAGTGAATCCAAGAATGAATGAATGAATGAATGGTGAGCGAGTGAGTGAACGAGTGAATGAACAGAAACAAGACAGAACAGCTGTGAACTTCCATTGCTCTGTTTAGGTGACTTGGCTGTGCTGGGTCCTTAAGAATGAATCCAGCTGTTGTCTCCCCCCCCCCTCCGAACAACACCACTTTCTGTGCCCCGTGGGGAAGCCAGGCTGGTCAGCAGAACCCCAAATCTTGAGTGCCCCAGCAGACGACCTGAGACTTGGGGCCCTTTGGCTCCCCCTGGTGACGGTTCACTAAGGTGTTTGCCCATAAGGAGGAGAGAGGAATTACCCAGTTCCCCTCTGCCTTCTAGGTAGGTCCTCTGTGATCCCACCTCACCCCTCCATGACAGGAAAGTCCTGGCCTGGGCTCAGATCATAATGTCAGCACTGAGCAGTCCTATGTGGTGTCCCTGTCGCTGGCATCCCTTCAGCTTGGGTTCCTCAGCCTGAATGGCCCCTTAGAGTTGGTGGGAGGATAAAGCCAGGCAGGCATGAAATGAGACCTTTCGGAACTCAGCCTCCTTCTCAGTAACAGAAGAGTGCTGCTGGCATCTTCTGCGGAGGAGTAAATGAGACACTGACCCGGAGTCCTCAGGATCACGGCATATAGAGGTCTTTGTGCTCTTGTTAGGGTCAGTATAGTTACTCCCGCTGGTTCGAACGGTAGCAATAGCCACTGTTATAAACGTCTTCCTTTGGGGCAGTTTTTAATCAGGAAGGGTTCTCTGGGTTAGTTGTGAAAGTGCTTTGGGATAAAATGTTCTCTGCAACTTTAAAATGCCATCATACAGATGTCATATCTCTGTGTGGATGAGTTTTGGGGCTTTTGCTCCTTTTTCTTAAAAAAAAAAGGAAAAGAAAAGAAAGAATAAAAAGAAAATGACCATTTCCTCCCGTGGCTGTGTGGGCCCCTTTGTTCTTCTCTGCTGGCCTTTCTGCAGTTCCCTGTGCGATCCCGGGCCACACAGGTCCTTTCTTGGGCTGGGCTGGGTTGTCAGAGGGGGTCTCAGTCTCCAGGAGCCTGTGAGCTAGACTCTGAAATGGCCTGGAGTTGTGGCCCAGTGTCTTCTTCCTCTCTCATGTCTGTTGGGCATCCCTGGGTATTGGTGTGGTACTAGGGCACATTAGTGAATCCTGTCATCTACTCCTGTGACACAGAGATTGCTGCCCTCCCCACGGGACACCTGAGAAAATGGATCTGAGGTTGCCTGTCCAGGATCACAGAGCTAGCAAATGTCAGAGGTGGGGTTTGAACCTGGGTCTGTACAGCCTGCTCATAAAACACAGAGATCAAAGGGCAGAGGGGCACGATTTCAGCCGTGGACACTATTCACTGTAAGGCTTTGGAGTTGTCTGGTTTTGTTCCAGTATTGAGAAGAGTGATTTCCAGAGGGTGCCTAGATCATAGCAGTGTACATACAACCTACCCGCCTGACTTTGGTTTTACCTGGTTTTACTATCTGCCACTTTCTTTCCCCAAATTGTTGGAATATTTAGAACCATTCCTGCCACTCTCAGTGGGCAGAGGAGACAGGATGATACCGGAGGGGCTTCTCAGAGATGCCCAAGTGCATCAGGGGACCATCATGTCACTTTATGGGGTGGGAGCGGGAGTGGGGGGCACAGTGCCTGTGTGGGGCACTCATGAACCTGAATTATGGCTTCAGGTTCACGGATGGACAGACGTGAGGACAGGAAAGCTGCAAACACAATCTGGAGACAGCCCAGCTTGGGCTCATCTGACAACTGGGGAAACCGAGATCCAGTCTCACTCAATCCACTGTTCCTTGGGCATGCCCGCCATGGCCGTCTCAGAATAGCAGACTCCACTCGGGGGCCACCAGTGCTTCCTCAGAGCCTTGCCGCCACACACTCACACCCACGCATACCAGGCAAGGCTGTACCCGTGGCCTCCCTGCTCCCTCGTCTCGTCATTGGCTTTCTGGAGGTGGCACCAGTTTTCAAGGCCAGACATAAGCATTCCTGACCCCCTGAGATGGCCTTGGCCCCCCCCTGTTCTCAATTCATGTTTCCCCAGGCCATGCTGCCCCTTTTCTGAACCACAGCTCAGTCCCTCTCCCTCCCTCACTATGCCGTTCCCTGTCCCCAGCCCTGTCCTCTGAGCCCAGGCCCCGCACTGGGTCCTCACTGCGCCCTGCATGGCCTAGGCCGGGTGCTATGTACTTGGAGAGCCACAGCCTGAGGTTAGTAGTCCCTTCAAGGCGTCAGACACATTGTCACCTAAGGCCGCTTTCAGGCCTTCACCCCAAGCCTCCCAGGTCAACAAGTGACTGGCTGGGCCACTGGGCAAGCGGTTAGTCTAGTCAAAGGCATCCGACTAACTTATACCGTCAGACTCTGTAAGTGGACTTATAGGCATGGCTTCTTTCCTGAGTGGACAGGAGCTGCCCATCTCAGAGAGGAGGGATCGCCAGGCAGTGAGAAGAAGAGGGTGATATGGGAGGGAAGGGGGGAGTCAGGGTGAGAGGGAGGAAGGAGAGGGAGATGCAGGACAGAGGGAGGGGGGAGATGTTAGAGTCTTGGTCATATCATTTCTTCTGCTCTTAAAGAAGCTACATTTTGCTTCTGTCACTTGTAGCCAAGACCAACCTGCTCAGCCCGTGCTCAGAGTGGGAGACCTGTCCAAAAAGTGCCACTGTCAGACAGACAACACGTTCCATGT